CCATAATTATTTAGCTCAAAAACTAGGTGTGCTTTAATGTTTGTACTTGTTTAGGCCCCTTTTTTTTCTTGTTTTTGGAAGGTCTTTTTTATTTTTAACAAGAAAAAGATTACACATAAACACAAAAGGATTAGAACAATCAACATTAGTTAGTAGTATATCCAACGAAATCTAATCTGTCTCATGAGTTGCCTCATTTTCTTATTGTCTAATTCTTACCGAAGAAAAGTAAGACAACGCCAATTTGATTAGACCATATCTCCTTACTTATCGAAGAATTAACGAAAATTAAAGACTATTCAAATTCAAAATCAATTGCCGGGGGTAATGTTCCAATCCCGTTATATAAAAATTACTTTATGCTTAAATGTATAAATATTGATATTACTAAATGTATTTTTATATATATATATATATATCAATATTTATATTACTAGTTGTGTAAATGAGTAACCAATTACCATACTCTCTTCAAAGGAAGGCAAACAAGGCTTCGGTTGGACGCAATTAAGTGCGTGGAACTCATTCGGAGTGCATTCAAGAGGAGCCTTGTTGGGGCTTTCCTTTTGTTGCTCTTTCATTCCTCTGTGCAAATATAAATTTAATATGGAAATGTTATTCAGGTTTACTAATTAAATTTATTTGACAAAGTAAAATAATTAGGGTCATTAATAAAGTAAAAAATATCATAACTTGTTCGATATACAAGAAGTTGCAAATAATTATGGAAATGATTCGAATTATTGGAACGTCAAACGATCAAGCTAACAAATAATTCATCTAGTGATTAGACTCCAATTGATGTGCTTTTTGATAATTCGATGTTTTTAGTGATTAGGTTTCAGTCAATATTATTTGGTAATTTTCTAGATTTCGTATTAGGTTTTCTCTCCTATATAGAAGCATGTACGTGCAAGAAGAGAGGATATTTTTTTATTCATTATTCACAAATAAAAATATTAGAATTAGCTTATTTTAACTTTGTAAATTCAATGTGCCCTCCAACATTCATGATTTTCGATTTATCAAAAAAATTTATGGCCTCTAGTGTTATACCTATGATATACCTACGCTAAATCTAAAACAAAAAATGGTCATGGTTGTCAACGTGAGATCAATAATTTCCACCAAATAATTGCACTATATTATTGATTATATATTTCATTCAATTATTGAACTTGTAAAAATGTTACATTTTCTCAAATTTGGTGTCAAAATATAGGATAAACCTCATAGTATTAATTAGTTGTCATTTGAACCGACAGCAACATGTAGCACGTGCTTTAGAATTCAACAATACATTCAGAGAACACCTATTAAGTAAGTATTAATAGTATATGATTAAATGCATGAATAACGAGCCCATGTACAGTACTTTTTTATGTAGTACAATGAGATCAGGACAAATGCTTACATTATTTAGTATTGATTAACTATTTTGTTTGATATGACTCGTTTCTAATACTTGGATTTAAAATATTTTGAGTATAATACTGAATTAAGACCAACGCTTTGAAAATATATACTTCTCAGTGTTGCATCTGACATACAAATTTTTTTTTGAAAAAATTAAAATGATATAAACACTAAAATTTTTGCTTGAAATAGACACTCAAAAGTTGAAGGACTTATTCATTAGTGGAATCAAAGTACCACATAGTTGATTCAACAAAAATAGAGAGTCTTCCCGCTGCATGTTTTGAGTGAATTTATTTTAAAATATTATCGGACATGTGATTGTGGTTGGAATTTAAGAACTTCAATAATTTTTAGTACTTGGGTTGGAATTAAAAGCCATGTCCTTTTGTTAGTTGTTACCAAAATAAATGATATAAGACTTTTCATGGTTTTAGCATTTGTGTTGGGTGTTTTCGATTGTTCCATTCATTTCAAATATATATTTACAATGGGGTTTTATTTATTACACTATCTCATTCATTCCTTAGATGCTTATTGACTTTGGTTTGAAGGCCATGTCATTTCTATAGTTCACTGTGTATGTTACACTACTGATGCCAATTCACATACATTCAAATATGCTTCTATATATATATACATACATGTGTGTGTATTTTAGTATTTGTGGCAGCTCAATCTGCAGTGGAGCTAGAGAATCTAGGTCCAATAATAGATGCATGATACCCATGGTGATCATAATAGAGGTTTATGTAATTTGGTACAAATAATAAGATTGGAGTGGAATTTTCATAGTTGAAATGTCATTTTCTGAAAATATAAAATACTCACCCAAATATGTTTGTTATTCCTGGTCAGAGCAGACCGTTGGAGGGTGCGCTCCTCTTTTTGGTCGCTAGCCCCCAATGGTTTCCAATGCTCTCCGTCGTCACGAAAGAATTTACTCAGGGGAAATGACTTTTATACCCCTACATTTTTTTGAAAGTTAAAACTAATTACTCTTATTTTCACCTAGCAATGCGGGTAGGCAAAAGGAATTCGACGTGACTTTTTATCACTCGAATAACACAGTCACATGTTCAAAAATTTATTGAATGATTCATTTATTATTTACAAATTTCAAAAAATTATTTCAATCCACAAGTTCTCACGATGTTGTCCTTACTCTTTTATAAAATTATGACTCTATCCCTTAAATAAATAAATACTTGTCAATCCATTGTTTATCCTCTTTTCAAGATCAATTTTTAAATTTTAATTCAAAATGTAACTCAAGAGTTTATCCCTTTTTTTCTACTAATTTGACTTACTCCAAATCTATTTACTATATTTTGCTGATGTGATATGATTTCAACATTTAATACATTTATAGTTGTCCAACATTTTGATATGATGCAAACATCAATTTTATGTCTTGAAATGTTAATACAAACAAAAAAGTTGATTTCGGTTTATCATGGAATTGGATCGTGATCTCTTGTGAAGGAGAGTTTCTAGCAGTAAATCAGTGACTTTAGGGTGCCACATCATCAATTTTTACTAAAATTGTTGCCCAATGTTGTGAAACCAGTCGAATTTTTGAGAAACTTTTACATCATCGTGACTAAATGATTTCTGTCAATCACAATTCAACATGTAAATAAAAAATTAACATATTTATTTGCATGCATGTTGTGATTGACCAGATCATGTAATAATTTTTTTGAATTAAAAACTGTATTGTATTCAGGGACGGATCTAGGAATTCATATGAGGGGGGACAAATTTATATAAAAGGGTTTTTTCATAATTTCAGTGGGAACAATTTCAAATTTTTATGGGTATAAATGCCAAAAAAAAAATATACATTTAAGGATAAAAAATGTAATAATAAAATTTTTCAGTGCGAGCAGATGCCCCCACTGAGCCCTTCACAAATCCGTGCCTGATTGTATTACTATGTTTGATAGTTCTGAATCGATAACTTAGATTTAAAATTTGAATAAATTTAGTTAAAATTTTAAACTAAATTTTCTTACATGCTAAAAGATTTAAATCCAAATTCAATAGATTTAATGGTAAAGGTGACACTATGGGCCCGTTTGGTATGCGTTTTGTTTTAGGTGTTTTGTTTTTTGATAAAACAGAAACAGTGTTATTGTTGTAGATGTTTTGGAAAAAAATCAGAAGTAGTTTGGGATGATACTTTACTATGGCCCGTGTTGCACTACTGTTATGGTTTTGGGCCATAAATAATTGTCAAAATAAGAAAAAATAACTTTTTGGTGTTTTAGTTTTAGGCCATTATTTACAAAGTGTTTTAGTATTGCGTAAAATAAAATAAAGTTACACCAAACAAACTTTTATTATCTAAATTAATACTGTAACAGTACAAAAATAAAAACAATAGAAACAAAACTCGTGCCAAATAAGCTTAATAACTCACTCGTGCAAATGACTTCAATGCCAACCACTTTACATTTTCAAGCTCCGTACTGACTTCCCCCCCTCTTAAATAATGCCAACGACTTGATAGAAAGTGTAATTTTTCATACTTACCATCTAAGCCCAAACAAGCAAAGTGAATTGTTTAGTTGAACAATTTTAATTAATTATATATGCATAATATAAAAAAATAAAAAATACCTTACCAATCAAAACTTTTGGATCAAACAAATCATTTTAATTGATTAATTTTAAAATATTTTCCTTATTCATTGAAATTAATCTTTGAGGGAGTGTGAGGAAGCTCAAACCCAACTGTTGAAAAGAGGATCAATCCACAATCACAGTAGTGTTGGTGTCCATTTTTGAAGCAGAGGGCCCTTGTTTATCACATTAAAGTTCCTTTCAAGTGACTGTCCATCACATTACATATTGATGTTGCATTGAGTCCCCTATTTTGCCAAGTGGTCCACCATTATTGAGCTAATAATGATCAAAACGTACACTATCTAATGATCTTCATTTTTTTTTTTTTAATGATCTTCATTTACAAATTACTTTATATGAATTAAGTGTCATTTTACTGTATTAAAAGAACCAAAAATTATGTCGAAAAAATTATTAAAAAATATACACATTTATACCTTCGGATCTTAGTTAGATAGTGTTACAAGTGTCCAAATCCGAATGAAAAATTAAATGAGTATAAATGAGTTGTGTGTTAGTCTCACCTAACAATTTAATTTTTTAAATCGGATCGCGGAACACCCAACCTTAGTATCAGTAATCCCTGGTCCGTTGTCACGCTAAATATTCTGTCCGGAAGTGTCTGGATCCCCACCCCAAATAGGCAGGGTGGTCCAACCACATTGAGGATCCATAACATAGCAGCTTTTGACAAAATCATTTTGTGAAATATTTATTTATTTTTCAGTTGAAAATTTAACATTAAAAAAAAAAAAAAAAAAAAAAAAACATTTTTGGGTCCACCATTTACGTGTAATAATTTTTGAATTTTGGATCTTAAATTTCCACAAGAAATGTACTTAGACGCATAAGGGTATTTCTGTCAATTTACACCCCAGACCAGACAAACTAAATATATATAATTTAAACACCAATTTTCACCTCATATCTAACGTATCTTAATCTAGCCCAAAGAAGCTTCTTTTTACAATTTTTTTTTCGTTCTTTTTGTATTTTAAATATAGAATATGATGTCATCTCTTTCAAAGAGACGCACAATAGTAAACACACACAGAGAAAGGAGAGAGAGAGCCTCTCAGCAGATCTGCTTCTTTTATCCTCTGCTGATTCTTAAACTCAGTCACGAGTGTTCAATGACAAACATCTGAAAAGTTTTGATATTTAAATGAGTGGGTCTCTCATTGATCGACTCTATTAACTCTCTGTCGAGTACAATCTCTATTTGTATCTATTTGAGCTCAAATACTTCAATCTTATACTGGGTTTCTTATATCTCAAGGACATTGACGATTTATTGTATAAAACGGTGATTTTCTCGCAGTGTTCGCCGGAGCTCTGATGAGGTACAAAGGTTTCCGGCGGTTGTCCGGCGAGGTTTGAATCCCCCGAAGAAGATGTGGGATTGAGCCCGAAATCGAATATGTTCAAGTCAGCGCGATGGAGGAGCGAGAAGAACAGGATCAAAGCTGTTTTCAAGTTACAGTTTCATGCTACTCAGGTATTTTCACTTCATATGGTCATCTCATCTAATCCAATAATAATATTGTTGTTGTTATTGTGTGTGTGTCATGTAAGTGTGTGTGTGTGTGTGTGTGTGTGTGTGTGTATACACACACTCTTCAAAATCATCCAATTGATGAATACAGCTATTGCAAAATCATTTTATCATTATCATTATTATTTTTTAATTTTTTTTTAACTTTGGTGGTGATAAATGTAGACGAAATCATTCATTGTAATGTATTTGAAAAATTGGAGATTTGTATCTATTTGTTTCTCGAGAAAATTTAAGAGAAGTAAATTAAATTAGAAATTCTATTTTTGTTTTTCATTTGCTCAGTATTTCAAGCAAAATTTAACTAAATATAATCGAATATGTTGTATGCCAAGTAGTTGTTATATGGTTCAATGGAGTAGGGATGAGTGTTTTGTTAGGTTTTCCTGCATCTTCTTGAGAACCAAACAGTAAATCTAGGGATCATGGGTGTGTTTTCAGGTGCCACAATTGAGAGGAGATGCATTGATTATAAATGTTGTTCCTGCGGATGTTGGAAAACCAACGGCCAGATTGGAGAAAGCGGTAGTTCAAGATGGAAGTTGTTATTGGGAGAGTCCTGTCTATGAAACAGTGAAGTTCGTTCGGGAGCCAAAAACAGGGAAGATTCATGAGAGAATCTACTACTTTGTCGTGTCAAATGTATGAAATATCTTAAATCAATACATTTACATTCTTTGCTTCCTTACCAAGAGACTCAGTTTTGAGAATCCATATAATGTGTTTTGGGGTTCTTGCAGGGATTGTCAAAGGCTGGTGTTTTTGGAGAAGTTTCTATTGATTTTGCAAATTATGCTGAGGCCACTAAGATTTCCTCCCTGTCCCTTCCCCTTAAAAATGCAAAATCTGAGGGTATTTTGCATGTTAGTTCTCTCTCTCTCTCTCAAGCACACAAGACATTCATTATTATATTTGTCATTGAGACATTTCTTTGAAATTCAAATGTTAACACATTTGGAGAGCTCTTCTTACTAATTCTCCATGATTGTTCAGAATGCTATGTCTATTGAAGGCTTTGAATTCTTTGACTATAGTGAAATGAATGCAGAGATTTCTCACATTTGTATTTGTTGCTTTTGAAATAGGTTTCAATTCAAAGGATGCAGGAAAATGTAGATCAAAGGTGAGAATTAAGTGTTACCTTCTTTTTCATTATTCGTCTCAGTTTGCATTACTGAAACTTAATTGAGTTTTCCATCTCCAAGTCTTTGCAGAGAGCTTGAAGAAAGCGAAAACGCACAAATTAAATCCCAGGGTAGGAGCTTGAAAACACTGTTGAGCAATGGTGATACAGATGGAAGCATCCAAGGCAATTCTATTGAAGTAAGGTCTCATTCCATTCAAGAAGATTAACTTTTGTTTTCTTCTTCTAGATGGGATGGTAGTGTTTATTTGATTCCTTCATTAGAATAATTGAAGAAATAAAATCCTCACATATATAAATATTTTCAAGAGTCGAATTGCATTGTAGTTGTAGTTGTGGCCTATGGTTTTTACTCGGAACAATTTGTAAGAATATTGTGTGTGTTTTTATTATTTTTTACAGGATGGTCCTTGTAACAAGACCATTTCCCACATTGTGAAATTGAATGGGAACCACCGGGCATCAAGCGCATCTGATGTTACAATGTCAAGTTCTGAGAGCATCTCTGAATTTGATTCTCCTCGGGAGCTTGGATTGAACAATAATAACGCCCACCAGGACCCAACCAGCTTCCTATCATCTCTGAGTGTTGTCTCAGTTGCTCCGAAACCAAACTCTGATATATCTGCGACAATAGATGAGGAGCATCATGGATCACAATGGGAATGGTCTGGAGGTTCTGCTCCTGAAGTAAGTACAGATGATTCGTCAAGCAGTCCCAGAGACACGCTTCTACCAGAAAGGTCTCAAGAGGCTTCAGATGTCACAGTTGAAAAGCTCAGAACTGAAGTTGCTGTTTTGGCTAGGCAAGCAGAAGTTTCAGAATTGGAACTACAGACTCTGCGAAAGCAGATTGTGAAGGAGAGTAAAAGGGGGCAGGATCTCTTCAAAGAAGTTGTCAGCCTCAAAGAGGAGAGAGATGTACTCAAAGAAGAATGTGAGAAGTTTAAGTCCTTCCAGAAACGTATAGATGAGAGAAAAGGAAAAAACATGTTTCAGTTTGAGGGAGGTGATCCGTGGGTTCTTCTTGAAGAACTCAGACAGGAATTAAATTACGAGAAGGACCTTAATGCCAATCTCCGTTTACAACTAGAGAAGACACAAGAATCTAATAGCGAGTTGATTCTTGCTGTGCGAGACCTAGATGAAATGTTGGAGCAGAAGAATAGGGAAATATTGAACCTTCCTGACAAATCAGCAATTAGTGAGAATGCTGAAGAGTTGCAGGAAACCAACTCCAAATCTGAATCGGATGATGAAGAAGAACAAAAGGCTCTGGAAAAGCTCGTTAAGGAGCATAGCGATCCCAAGGAAGCACACTTGCTGGAGCAAAAGATCATGGACCTTTTCAATGAATTACAGATCTCCAGGAGAGATAAAGACGAGCTTGATATGCAGATGGAGCAGCTTGCTCTTGACTATGAGATCCTGAAGCAGGAAAACCATGACCTCTCATATAAAATGGAGCAAAGTCAGTTGCAAGAACAGCTGAAGATTCAATATGAATGTTCATCTTCTTATGCTACTGTGAATGAACTTGAAACCCAGGTAGAGAACTTGGAAAATGAACTGGAGAAGCAGTCAAAAGAATTCTCAGACTCTGTGGCCATCATAAATGAACTTCAAACCCATGTCAAGAGCTTGGAGGAAGACCTAGAAAAGCAGGCGGAAGGATTTGAAGCTGATCTGGAAGCTCTTGCTCGTGCCAAAATCGAGCAAGAACAGAGAGCCATACGAGCAGAGGAAGCCTTGAGAAAGACAAGATGTCAAAATGTTAATACAGCAGAGAGACTTCAAGAGGAATTTAGACGGCTTTCAATGCAAATGACAACTACTTTTGAAGCGAATGAGAAGATGGCTGCAAAAGCACTAACAGAAGGCATTGAACTCCGTCTGCAAAAAAATCATGTTGAAGAAATGCTGCAGAAAGCAAAGGAAGAGCTCGAGTCTGTTAGGGATCATTATGAAGCAAAATTGCATGAGCTTTCTACCGAAGTTAGCTCAAAGGCCAATCAAGTAGAGCAGATGCAGTTGGAAATTGAAGATAAATCCAAGTGGCTTGAGCATCAAAAGAAGCATGAGGAAGAGACTCAAGGGGTTCTCTCACAGGAGATCCTAATGCTCAGGGTGGAGATTGAAAGGCTCACAACAGAGAATAATAATCTTTCTGAAGAGGCTGAACGGAGAAAAACTTTGGAGGCTGAGTTAAAACACATGGAAACATCAATGAAGGAATCGGAAATTCTGATTCAAAAAGGGAATCTAGAAAGGAATGAGATGGAAAACATGCTTGCTTTGATGAAGATGAAAGCAGAGAAGTCAATAGAGGAATTAAACATTTTGAGGAGTCTAAAGGATGAAAATGAGTCAGCAATTGTAAAGCTGCAGTCGGAGTTGGCAATTCTGAATGCTCGGTGTCACGAATTGAACCATTCTTTGTTGGAGGATGATTTAGAGAAAGAGAAACTTAGGAATCAGGTATTGCAATTGGAAGGTAATCTAAAGAAGAAGGAGGATGCATTCAGCAGTATTGAGCAGAATGCGAAGGACAAAATGAAATTTTCTGAGGTAAATTATCTACTGCGTCTTGTATATTAAAACAGTTGTTACTTGAACATGTTAGGTATTAATGATAAATCAGGTGGACTGCGTACAAGAGTAAATAGATGATTTGGCCCAAAGATTTTGTTGGAACCCCAAAATAGTAAAAAACCTGATGTCACTGACCATTATAATTGGAATCATTCAAACATGATTTATATTTTAGAATTTTTGAAAATGCTTTATTGATGTGCTAATAACAGCCGTGAGTGTAGCTGAAATATGATGTTACCCGATATGCTGAACTGACTGTTTTAATGATCAACAGGATCAGATAAAGCTAAAGGAAATGTCTCTTGAAACATTTTCAAATTCATTTTTGGAGGTGGAGAAAGATCTTCAGATCAAAATCGAAGAGTTAGAAAGAAGATTGGAAGAAATCGATCGCAACAGCATGAGCCTTTGTGAATACGAATTCCAAAAGGTTAGCAAGTCAACAGTTCATATGATTCAGTGAAATAAGACATTTGCACATGTTTACCAGTATTAGTGGTATGAAATTCAAATTGTTAACTGTGTTATTCGTGGAATATTTAACCAAACAAAATTTTTTTTGCTTTCTTGGGCTGCCCCTTTCCCTAGGTAAGAATTATGATTGGGTTGGAGTGGTGCTGGAAACTTTATAAAGCTGAATGTACCCTAGTTTCCTCTTGATTACTGTTTGGCTAAGTCAACCGACTTCCTCCATTAGTTCAAATGTCAAAATAGTGAGATTGGACTCTTGTCTAGGTTGATGTCGATATTTGCTTTAGATACTAGTCATACCATGCAGCAGCTATTTATGCAACGGTTTATCATGGGCTGCAGGTAGATATAGGTAAGGAGGATGCTACTTTGAATGCTAACGAGCCCAAAGAAGCGAGTTATACAGCCAACAATTTGAGCATTGTAGAGTGCATATCCAATGAAACTGGTTCTGCAGTGTCATTGACAAAGAGGTATGACTTATGGAATATAACTTTAATCTTCTTTAAGCCAGAACTTTTCCTTTTGAGAAACAAATACAAGTATATTATATATTTGAATTTCTGATCTTCAATTTCTTAATTCCCCCTGCAGCAATGATGATGACATTTTATCAGAGAAAAAACTGGAAGCCTCTGACAAAAATACCGGAGACCAAAGCAACCTTGACAAATTATTAAATGAAATGACATTGCTGAAGGAGAGGAACAAATCAATGGAAGGTGAGCTGATGGATATGCAAGAGAGATACTCAGAAATAAGTGTTAAGTTTGCAGAGGTAGAGGGTGAGAGGCAACAACTCATAATGAGAGTACGCAACCTTAAGAATGTGAGAAAGAGCAAATAACCGTTCTACGAAACTGGAAACTGGATACCATAAAGGGTGAAACAGTTGGATGTATCTATGCCGAGAATCCAGATGCTACAGAGATATCAGTCTTGTGAAGAGTAATATGTATATTGGTAACATATATTCTTTCTCTAGCAGATATCATTTGTCTTCATCATTGATATGATATACAATTACATAGTTTCCCAATGTAGATAAATATGCCTCAGTGTCCAATCCATTTTATTTCAATAATTTTGTTATCGCTTGTTAAGATAATCTTGACACTTTTATCACTAATATATATTCTTTTTATTTATTGCTGTTAAGATAATAAGAATTGCCTTTTTTTTTTTTTTCCTTTTGCTATCAGAATTTACTAGCTCTTCAACTTTTCGCCTGTAGATATTCATATTTGTGACTGAAGTTAGATTTGAAGTTTGAACATTAACTGCTTTATTTTGCTTGAACACCCATTGAACCTGCTCCCTAGTTGAAGTATTCTGAAGCAACCGGCATTTCACGTAGCTTTAAGAAGTCAGCATTTGCACTGCAAATTAGTTAGGAAATCAGCAAGTTCTTAAATTTTAGTTTACTCAATCCAAGTTTGGTAGTGACCAACTCTTTGTCAGTACAATGCAAGGGGACACATACATATTTTGGATATTTGTATAACTCAATTATGCATGTTGGTCTGTTACATTGTTCTGTCATTCTCTCACTGACCCTCCTATTCATGATAAGAAACTTTATTGTCGAGGGATGCTCTCATTGCAATTGTATAGAAATGTTACATTTAGGAGAATTTCTGATGATTTTCTGCACCAAGCCCCTCGAAAAATCTTTGGCTTTGAATTTGGACATTCAGGAGTTTGCAGATAATTTTCAATCTTTCAGTTTTAATGCTTGAAAAATTGATGTTCGTTACACAAATTATCTCCAGAATACATGTTGACTCTGTTCCAGAAAATATATAATTTATTATCTTGGGTAGAACCATATTGTCTGTCAAACTTTTGTCCTAACTATTGGGTTAGGTTATAATATTGTAATTTCAGTTATAACACATTATTATCTTTTACAAGTGCAGCTTTTGGTCTTTGCTTTATATGGCTAAACTAGGTCAATTATCTCTAATTTGATGTCCAGTTAATATACTTCAACCCTGTCATGATTGTATCCATTTCTAAGATAATTCTTTCTTATCTTACCATACATCAAGATTAAGTGCAACGTCCCTGTTTTACTCACGGCCATTGCAAATGAATACTTAGCAAATCTGTGTCCTGCTAATCTTCTTTTCCTTCCTTGGTAAATGCTATTTCTCCTTCTCTTGTGGAGATATTATTAGATGGTGTTGGATCAATGACATTTGGTGATCTAGTTCAATCCAGACTATCCAATTTTGAAAAATAGACACACAAGGATGTAATATAAAGTTATGCTATTTAGATCCAACAATTTGACCGAAATGATGGGCCTAAATCTTTTTAGCCCTTAGATGCAATAGAGAGGGACTTTGGCTTAGTAGCCGATATCCTAGACCTAAGTGTCATGTGCCACTCTCTGTTGCATCTAACATCTAACGACACATGACACTTAGGTCTAGCATTTCTGCTGCTAGACCTAAGTGTTATTTTTTAATAATATATTACAAAAGAACACGAATATTAGTTTTGATTGGACTAGACTATCAAGTAAGAGATGATAATAAGCTGTGTTCTTGTTGTGTACTCTACTCAATAATAGGTATTTTTCATACATATACAGGAAAGTTATTATATAAAATTACAAAATTCTTTATGCCCCAAAAGCCTTTCAAGAGACCTAGATGCCCCCACCCAAAAATAAAAAGAAAAAGAATATGGATACTAACATCTTTTTTTCTTTATCCTTCTTTTTCCTGTCCTCCTCCTATTTACTCCTATGAACAAAAACAAAACTTTCACTCCACTACTTGCGTTTCAAGGAAGTTCTCTAAAAAGAAAAAGAAGGAAAAGGAAAAAATAAATAAATAAATAAATGAATAAAGAGAGAAGAAAATTTTCTGAACAAGTTCATGCATGTTGGAGCATCCTTTCATGACTTTGTGGTTGAGTTGATTACTCACAATTTATGATTTATCAACCCATAAACAGTCACAAGAGCCATAATAAGGGAATGGTCTATTTGGGGCTCCACCACTAGAGTCAATACATCCTCTCCAAACATAACTCCTGAAGATGATTGCTTTTGCTTTACCTGTATCACAAACCCCAAATATGCACCACAAAAACATTACAATCCAAAACTCTACTTCTATGTCACAAGACTCACAATACTGAAGAATTAGACAACTCTGCAAATTATTGTAAAACACAAACAACTCATCAAACATAAGTAATCACCTCTGCAACGAGTCTGCCATCGTAGTCTGTAATTTTAAACGCTGATCTGCCCGGCAATGCCACTATTGTAAAGCTGCTTGATTTAGCTTCATCAGTACTCCCCAAAGTTACGCAACAAGTTGTGTCTCCCCTGAAAATTCTGCGGTTTCTTCTAACTTGAAACCATGGTCTCTCCTTGTTTGCTTTAGAGCCAATCCATTTATAGCCATCCCAACATCCAAAAACTTGTAGTTTCTGCAGAAAACAAGTGAAAAAAGGAAACAATAATTTAGCTAAGCTGAGAAAATTTCAAGGTAGCTTAACATAAGTCTAATGATTGTTAAGTAGTATACCTTTCGTTGTATAGAATAGAGTACTTTGCCTCGAAGATCCATGAGACAGACTTCATTGACACACTTTCTGCCATAGTTATCGATACGATACACAATTTCACCATTCGAATCAAAGACTGTGCAGCCACTTCCATGGAATACAAGTGATTTCATCCATATGGTAAACGTTTCTCTTCTTGAAGTCATGTAAGATAAGAACTTGGGTGTCTGAGGATGCACCTTAGCCATTGAAAGGACAAGAAATTTTGGGTTGTAGTCTTGTGGATGAGGCTCTTCAGAGAGCATATATATATATATATGTGTGTGTGTTAAAAATTAAAAGGTGACTTGCATAGTAGCATGAGGCCCATATAATAAGAGAGATCAAAATATAGAAGGGGATAAAGCTCCAACTTTAATTTGTTAGGTTCAAATTCTTGTCCAGATTGGATGATTTTGATTAGTCCTGGGGCACTTTTGTCTCTTTGATTGTTTTGTATTGCAAAAAGTACCTCACTACTACACGTGGCGTATAACGATTGGTCGCAATGTGGAGGAGTGGCCAATCATGTTTAAAATTGGTTTGTTGTGACTTTAACACATTTAAGCCATGTATGTGTATAAAAATTCAAGTATGATATAGTTTATGTCTGGTTGAATAGCCTACATTTTTCTTTAATAGAGCAGCCCTCTTTGGGCTTTTTTTTTTTTGACCACTTCTTTACAGTACTTTTTGAATGGTAGTCCTAAACCATCAATAAGTAAACTCAAAAGCCATTTGGAATCTTGTTTTATATATTGGAGGTTAATTGCTGATGTCATAGACAAGAGCATTATTTGTGTAGTTATCTGTTTCTTGTGATCTTATCTCTTTGAAGATGTTTATTCAATTGATTATTTATTTCTTAGACTATGTTTGTCGGCATGTGTATTGCTATATTTAGCTCAGTAAAGAATCTTAATGTGTTTCTTCATTTGTGTATTCTTGTTGGCAAGACTTCTAGATACTGACAAAAGTTCATAACACAATATTTAATTTCTAATACTATGATTCACCCAACTAATAACACAATATTTAATTTCTAATAATATGATTCACCCAACTAAACTCAGCAGACAATAATAGAATATTTAATTTAATTGGTTTATTTTGATATGGGTAATTGAAAATGATATGAGAAAGTATAAAATACATTAGAGTACTTATTTTTTTGGTACCTCAATAAATAAAAACTTCATCTTTTCTCTTGAAAACTTTCACTATTTAGTTAATCAGACGCGAGTCTATTTTTAGGCGGATTCTTCCTTTTGCTCTTCAGCCCACGGGGTATTAACAACCGTTTCCAGCTGTTGTTTCTTTCCCAAGAGCAGGTTCTTACGCGTTACTCACCTGTCCACCACTAAAAATACCACTTTTCATATGACTTGCATGTGTTAAGTATGCCGCCATCGTTCATCTTGAATTAGGATTGAACTCTCCATAAAATTTATAGTTACAGTACTTAAAACTTCCTTCATTTGATTTATTTATTATTATTAAGAAAAATATGAGAGTTTTCATGACTCTCTACCATGTATAAGTACCTTAGGCCTTAGGATATTGAATACTTTCTCATAACATATATTATACTATAATTAGCTTTCTTGATGAATTTCAACGAGGCAGCTTAGTTACTAATATTTGTACACCTTATAAAGTCTCCCATAAATTCTTGTTTGGATCTCTGAATGATGCAACATCCCAACAGCTTTTCAAAGTCTGCAGGGTTTGTTATCCTCGTAGAACACTCTCCACAATTGCAACAGTCATCACTGCAACCAAACATGCCCTGTATTACGCATATGCATATGCATTGCTTGCTATTGATAATTAATTGTAAATTTGTAACATTAGGTATATAATTAAGAGAGTTGGAGTTAATTATTGTTTCCAGGCTTTTGGAATCTGATGTCCGTCATCATGATAAGCTTCAAGTTGATTAAGAAGTTAAAAAGATGAGAAAGACGCATAATGAACACATTAAAAGTGTCTATATTAGTTGCATGCTGATACACTACATGACTGATTCAAGTTTCTTAATTAATCCACTTGCATGGTATACCATATGCAGATGTTAAATATATATTAGTGTATTAATTAGGTGCAAATCCACTCGTGCTCTTCGCACGTGTTAACAATCACGACATGTTATGACATAAAAACATGACAATTAAATGATCTCGTCCATGAAAGATAGATGTTGTACTTTTTAACACGATTATGTACAAAGTGACAGTTCCTATTCTCGAATGAGTGCCATGGACGGTTCATACTGTCATTTTTATATATGGATGCACCAAGTGTAATTTCGTTTTTGTTGGCATCGTCTGAAACTTTATTATGACTGAGGGGTGGCAAAATGTGTCACGATTCACTAATTCGTCCATATTATTTGTTTTAAAATAAATATGGGTGAATTATTTTAAAATATGAATTAAAATGAGTGACTCATATTCAATCTATTTTTATAGAAGGTTAAAAGAGTTGAATATGAATTATTCATTTTGATCCATATTTCACCCATTACATGAGAGACCTAGTTTCACTTCCTCTATTTGATTCAAATTCACCTCTTCTTCCACTCTAAAATTCTGTCACATAATCCCAAATTCTCTATGTCTCTCCCACTCTCTCTTTCTCTCTAAAATCATCTCTCTAAGATTCTCTCGCATCATCCTCTTTCTATCTCTAAAATTACAATAGTATTACTATGCTACATTCACAATATATATACAATTACTCTGCTACATCCACAACACATATACAATGTATTAGTATGTATTCATTTAATTATTTATTCTATAAAAGATTAACAAATGGTTTCATATAATATAGGGTAAAGTGCAACAAACCCCTCTTCAACTGTACCCCAACGAGCGTAAAACCCCCTTGAATTTCTAAAGTTACATTTAACCCCCCTCAACTTAGGGGTTTGGTGGCAATTTACCTAATCCTACCACCGGCAAATTTTTTGGCCGTTAAATTGAGTCCCTGAGTACCATATTTAAATTAAATAACCATTCAACTCTTATCCCTAATTCCTTTTCACCCAATTTTCTCTCTCTTCTCTATCTCCATTGAAGACCAAAAGGCAGAGTTTCATCTTTACACCAAACTGAGAACGACGTCTACACCATGAACTTCGGCGACAGCCTTGATCGGAACACCACGAAGATTTTTGTGTCGCCGTGAAAGAATATGACCGAGTCGTTTTTGTGACCTGGTTCTCGCCGTGGATGGTAGCGACCTTTGGGTTGCTATATGTTGGAGGATGGGGTTGCTACTGTAGCGACCCAGCAAGCTGTGGAGGACGGTCGCCGTCCATGGGATATACTAGGTCACCGTCGAATATCTCTACCCTTCCCAGCCACGCCTTTCCTAGGGTTCCAATAATCACTCCGCTACCCTTAATCCTAGCCATCCAATTTCTGCCGATCCCACTTTCAATCTTTCTAATTCTCCGTCGTCAGGATTTTCGCAGGATCACTACTCCGATGTTTCTAAGTTCTTGAACGTTCCATCGCCGGAATCCGGTGGATTCAATCGCGAATCTTTGCATTTGCATGAATCCGACAGTAAGTGCTTGAATGCCGCCGCTGCAGCTAGGGTTTTGGATTACCCCTCGCTCGACTCTGAAATTCGCAACGACCAAATTTCTGGGCCTGCATCGTCTCATGGTTCCAGGCAATTGCGGTTCTGCTGTTTTGGATACTCATAATTACCCGTCGCTTAAGTCAGGTAACTCTTCTCGATCTCTACCTTCTTCTCTCGATTGCGCAAATAATTCTCTCAATGGTGATGGTGTTGAGGATCAGAAGAATAAATTGGAGGAGTTGGGCAATAATTTCTCTTTAAAAAGAAAGAAAGAGAATGAAGAATTTCATTTAAGTTGCTGAAGGAAACGGTGGCGTTTTTATTGTGAAGTGGCACCTTTTTTATAAGAGGGGTAAAATAGACTTTTCCAATTCCGGTGATAAGAGATGACCGGAAAAACCTTCTCTGTCCTAAGACTGCACCAAGACCATAGTTGAGGGGGGTTATTTGTAGTTGAGGGGGGTTAGTTACACTTGAGGTATAGTTGAGGGAGGTTTATTGCACTTTACCCTATAATATATATATATATACCTTACCTTCATGCAAGGCTAGTCATAAAATAAAATAATATTAATTTAAAGAATTTTCAAAAGAAGTTGGAGGATTTACTATTATACATATATATTTTTAAAAGTTTTTTATCACTCTAAAATAAAAAATATAATAATGAGATTATTCAAAATAACAACATTTTTTTTCCTTAAAACGGGTTGATGGGTCATGACGAGTTGACCCGGTCTATTTTGACCCAACCAATATTCAACTCTTTACAAATGGGTTTAATTTAACCCATATTTAACCCGCCCATATTTGACCCGGACCAAACCACCTGTTTGCTACCCCTAATTAGGACAATAAATTTAAGAGTAAAGTGCAAAAATCCTCCTAAATTATTGACTTTTTGTAACTAACCCCCCTGGACTAAAGATTGCCCCCTAAATTATTGATTTGTTACAATTAAGGACAAACACATCACAAAAGACTATTTTACGATTTGTTATTAAATTTGTCATTTCTTATTAAATTGTTTTTTATTAAATTTTTTCTTATTTAAATATTAATTATACCATTTACCTTAATTTTATAATTAGTATCAATTGATTATAAAAATGGAAATAAATAAATAAATTTGTAGCTATCATTTTCTAAAATGATTAACTTATTATACTCACTTTTAAAAAATTTAGTATAAAAAAATATCTTTTTTTTCAAACAATATTGATGAAAAATTAATAAATTAGGCAAATAAAAAATATCTTCTTTTTAATGCAATATATTCATGAAATTTAAGAAATTACTTAAATTGTTTCAAAATTTTCTATTTAAGATTTTTATTTAAATAATTAATTTAAAAAATTAAAGGCAAACTTATGCAAATTTGATGGAGAATATTTCATCAAATTAGTATGAATTTTTTTTATAATTTATTTTAACAAAAAAAATATATCAAGTGTAATTCAATAAGAAAGGGTATTATGGTTATTTAATGAAAAATATGTAAGATAATGGGGCATTTTGCAATAAATGTGCTAGTTCAGGAGGTTTTATGCACAAAACATAGTTCAGGGAGGTTATTTACAAATTTAGACATAGTTGAGGGGGGTTTAAACAATGCCATAAGCTTTTGTTCCACTTTACCCTAAATTTAAGTATGTTTCTTCTTATATTCAAAAGTTAATTATACCCGGAAAAAAAAAAAAAACAAAAAAA